GCAGCGGGTGAGGCAGCCTTCAAACTCTGCGCTGATGCTCTGTGACGCGCCACAATGCTTTATGTGCCAACGCAGCCACGTGCGTGTACAGATCTGCACCGGTGCTTGTGTACCGAGAGAACATAGGATCACAGGAGGGTGGGCGCTGCCTTAACACACAGTCTGATATCGATCGGCACTGGCCACTAGGGCTTTGGGAGAATATAGAAGAACGGGAGAGTACGATATCGATTCCCATCGGCTGCGTTCGCATTTATAGGATTGAGCGTTTGTGGCAGTTTTAGCATGTCGACGCGCATTACTGCGCGTTACGGCGCGCGCATGCCATCGCGAAGTCTGTACGCTGCCTCACCCTAGCAGCTTAGGCAGTCTCCACACTGTCCTGACTTTCTGCGCTTCAAGCCTAAGCCTTGCCTGGGGAAGAGACGTAGAGGCGCTACGGAGTGGTCCCAAAATTCGTTATCCCTTAGCGAAAATTTCTGTTGGGGTTCCCCCAGTTCAAGAAGTTTTTTTTGCAGGAACTGAAAGATGTGGTGTTGTCCAAGACGCAGCGGAAAACTCCAACGGTCATCCATAGGCAGTATGCGATCGGACGAATTCGTGCTTTCTACGCTCGGAAGATCAAATTCCTCCAGCAGACTCTTCACGACAAATTAACGCAGATCATCAATGAGTTTCCCAAAATGGAGGTACAACCTTTTAATTTTGTTCACCGGGAAAGTATTGAACACTTAGCTTTATTTAACTATGGCCCAAAAATTCACCTTTTTTCCTTGCTGAAACTTTGCCTATCGTATTCTGATTATTACCTTTTTTTCAGGAAGTTCACCCATTCTATTCCGATTTGATGAATATTCTTTATGATAGGGATCACTACAAAATTCGCGCTTGGACAAATGAATACTGCTAGACACTTGATTGATGGGTGAGAGTCGCTTTTTTTTCTCTACCTGTAATAATTACATTTGAGAAATACAGGATTGCACGCGAATATGTTCGTTTGATGAAATATGGTGATTCTCTCTACCGATGTAAAATGCTTAAAAGAGCAGCTCTCGGTAGAATGGTGAAATTACTGAAGCGCCAGAAGTCCAGCTTCGATTATCTTGAGCAAGTCCGTCAGCATCTTTCTCGTCTGCCCTCCATCGACCCTGCTACAAGGTAAGCTTGTAAAATTGTTTAACATGTGAAAAGTGAAAAATCGAACCGTTCCATATTTAAGGACCCTAATTCTATGCGGTTTTCCTAATGTGGGTAAATCGTCCTTCATTAATAAAGTGACCCGAGCAGACGTTGAAGTTCAACCTTATGCTTTTACCACAAAGGCTCTTTATGTTGGACATCTTGACTACAAATTTCTGCGTTGGCAGGTTGGTTACGAGTGTCTGTAGTGGCAATTTTTGAAGTGCTTTACCAATAACTGACAATTTTACTATTTTCAAGGTGATTGACACACCCGGAATACTAGATCAAGCACTGGAAGAGAGAAACACAATTGAAATGCAAGCCGTCACAGCTCTTGCACATCTCAAAGCTGCTATTCTTTTCATTATGGATATTTCAGAGCAATGTGATAGAACCATAGAGGAACAGGTAAGGATTTTTTTAGATGTATTCTTTCATACGTTGCTAAAACTCCACCTTTATTTGCTGAAAGTTTACTTAGAGACACCTGTTAAACTTTTCTAGATATGCAGAGTGGCCGATAATGCTAAATTCTTTCTTTCTTACCTTTCTCTATCTCAACGGTTTTCTGCTGTGCTTGCTCCCACTGTAGTGTCATAATTGTTCAGGTCAATCTATTTGAGTCAATTCGGCCACTTTTTGCCAACAAGCCTGTGATGATTGGATTAAATAAGGTATGTGTTATTATGAAAGCTCAGAGGTCACGACTGCTGCTGAAGCACTGCGGTGGAAATTCATATCATGAAACTTTTCACCATTCAGGTAGATATAGTGCGAAGGGCTGATATATCATCGGAGAAGGTCGCACTTTTGGAAAAACTTGAGAAGGAGGGAATACCTGTTGTGGAAATGTCAACAGTGACTCAGGAAGGAATCATAAGTCTGAGAGATAAGGTAAGCAGTTGCTTTCGATGAAACTACTCTACTTAGAGTCTGATTTGTTGTGAACAAAGAGAGATTTTCTCATTTTTCCAGGCATGTGATGCTTTGCTAGCTCAACGAGTGGAAACGAAATTGCAGTCAAAGAAGGCGTCGGTTGAAGATACGGTTTTGAATCGTATTTTCGTAGCTTATCCGACACCGAGGGATGACAAGGTGAGGCGACCCTACTTGTTTCAGGGCTTTTATATATTTCCTGATGATTCAGATGGAATATCAAAGTTCTCGTGAACTGCGGTCATCATCCTGCAAACGATAGAAAGTGTGAGGGGGTACCGCTTGGAAGGCAGCTAGGGCAGATTCCCCGTTGACTGTGTGCTCAGGATGAAATCACTGGTGGAAAAAGGCCGCCTTGGCTACGCTCCAATTCATTCCGCTTCACCTGCCCTGTCGTTTGCAGGGATCACGACCTTACAGCGAGGCTCATCGTAAGCAGAAAAAATCGAGCAACTGTATGAAAGCAAAACAGAAAAAAAGGAAAAATTGTGTTTTGCTTTGAAATTTTTCTGAAAGATTCGGTCACTGATTTTGATGCGTCTTTCATTAGCGAAACAAAAAAAAGATCAAAGACACAGTATAGCCGGGTGGAAACCATGAACCTGCTAGCACTCTGTGACATTTCATGTGGAAAGGGAGCGAAGATGTTTTGTGTTGTGGATTGTCCTTCCGTCGCATTGTCTCGATCCTCCCTCCGCCTCTCAGGTAGAGTATATGCGGCATTAACCTTGATAGGCCAGGAGATGGAAAATAAAGTAAAAAGAATGCATTGGCGAAAACGACGTTATAGGGCCAAAGCTAACATCGTTATCGTATCACTAAGCAGTATACCCTAGTTCGCCTGGCGCACAGAAGGGGCTTGTCATGCGGAATGGTTTGGCGCGGGCCCGACCGTCTTGTTGCCAGTTCTTGAAGCTGGATAGCGCAACAATCGGTACAAAACGAGTGATACGAGCGACGTGATGCAGTCTTGTCACTTGCACGTTCAACAGTTTTCCCAGAAATTCCTCCACTTCCCTTCGAGAACTTGCATTCTGAGCGGCAGGAGCGCCGAATAAGCGACACAAGCCCTTCTCCGTCCTTTCAGCGACCCAATAGACTCCTTCCGACTTGGGCACCATCACGTGCAACATGCGCTGTGTGAAATTGTGTCGTGTGCTTATGAACATGCTGATTTGATGTCAATGTTATTTATGTAATGGTGACGAATATGTGACAAGAGAACCGTAATTTACCGCGCTGGTGGGCGTCGCGTGCGACATAACACCCGCAAATGACGATGGCTTCAGGTAGTAGTTGGCGACAGCAGGACAATTCAAAAACCGGAAAAATAGTCAAGTGGGGACTTGCGATGAGCGGGTGTCAACATGAAGTCCTGTGCTCCAGGTCGACTGGTTAGCACGAGTTAGAGGAAACGCCGCGCCATCACCGCGCGGCGCAGCGGAACGGCAAATCACGATTCTCTTGCCCGTCTCCCAGTGGTGATGTTTCAGGTTCGTGCTCCATACATTCCTGAGACCGTTAAGCAGCGCAAGCAACGTATGCAGACCGATGAACCTATAGAAAGGGATGAAAGTATGTGATTCAATATTGCGATAGACTCAAATTTCAGTGTTGAAATTTTAGATACCAGGAGACTGGAACGCGAATTAGAACTGGAGTTGGAGGACGATTATATTTTGGACTTGAAGAAGCACTACATGCTGAAGAATCCAGAGGAGAAGTACGATGTCATCCCAGAGATTTGGGAGGGGCACAACCTGGCAGATTTTGTTGACCCCGAAATTCAAAAGGTACCTGGTTTTGCCTTATTTACACATTTGCACAAGGGTGAATCTTTGTTCAGAAACTTGCCGACCTACTTGCCGAAGAAGAGCTGCGAGAAAAGGCAGGCGAATACGATCCAGATTTGGATAGTGATGATGAAGAGACCAAGGAAAAGTTGGAGTTAGCCAAGCAGATCAGGGAAAAGGAGAAGTTGCTCACGTTGGAAAACCAGATTAACAAGAAGAAAGCGGTATAGTTCACTGTTACATTTATTTACATTTATTTGTGCCTTTTAACACCGGCGTTTTCAAGGGCAATCATGTGTCACGGTTGAACGTGCGCAAGCGTGAGAGGTCTATGAGTCGGTTGGAGGAACAAATGGAAGAACTTGGCGTTCAGGTACTCTACAAATCAGTCTTGTGCTGAACTGCTCTCTAATATGGAAGTCCTTTCTTCAGGTTGACACAAAGCGCATGAAAAACTTGCAAGGTCAGGCTCAGAAGCCTCAGCTTGGCAAAAAGATGAAGGTTGGCCGATCACCAAGTTTGAGTGCATCGCGGCCACCGCCGAGGGATGAGCTTGGTATTTCTGACAAGAAAGTGAGTGCTGTCATGCCGTAGAACTACGAGGCCGTATTTTTACAAAGTTATGAATTTCTTATATTTTTAGAAGAGGCTGAAGGCTGAGAAGCTCCGCGCAAATGCATTGAAACACTTGAAACGTGAAGCAAGAAAGGGAGAGGCTGACAGACATGTGTACGACTTGAAACCTAAGCATTTGTTTAGCGGAAAGCGCAAGATGGGAAAGACGGACCGGCGATAATGATGTATTGCGTTTCTATGTTCTCTTCTCTCGTATACCTTCAAAATTACTTGAATTTGAATCACACGTTAGCACCCGGATATGAGAATACTTTTACACTGCATTTCAACTAAGAACTGATGTTGTAGGAATGGGAAGTATTTAGGCCGCGTTCAGAGTTCGCGCTGACGCGCGTCGACGCGCTCCCTTTGCAGCCACACTCCACTGCTCTAGACGGGAACGCAACCGTGGACGGATATTGACCGGAGCCGGTGCTACGCCGGTGGCTACTGCATTGGGAAAATATGGGGGGTATAGGAGCATGCGCGTGCCTGATCACTTGGACTGGTACTCTTCTGCCAAACACTAGCGATCGGCGCTGATTGATTTCAGGGATGTATAATTAAGCACGTGCACCAGCCCTGCTTATTCCGCAACCTATCAAAAATTGAGGGCGGCGCGCTGATGCGAGGTTCCTGTTTTTGCCGGCTGCGCTCAGATCTATAGCATTGAAGCGCTGTTGCAACTGTAGCGCGTCACCGCGTAGTCTGAACGCTGTCTTATGTGATTGTTTACTCATGTAGTGTGAAATTTTGTTTATATTGTTACCGTGTTACTTGTTATTTTGTTTCGCACAAATACCGCTGGATATGTTGTTTTGTTGATCCAATAAAGTTCTATGGTTATTCGGCTTAATACATCAGAAAGTGCTACATTCAGCATTGTTATATCGATCCAGTTTATGTGAAAACTGGTAACTCTCTTAATGATGGAATCATAGTAGGCTGTAATGGTGAAGAAGCAGTCTCCAAAGAAGCCGGAGGATCAGACGGATTCCACGGCCTCTGATGGGGTTCTTAAAGCGGCAAAACCAATAAAGGTAATGTTTTCGATCTGCCAGCTGCAGATGTTGCTGCTCGATTTCTTGAGGCGTTTTTTGACACAAATAGGTGGTTAGTTCGCTGCAGGAATGTGGGGTGCATCTCGTTTCGGTGGTTGAGACCACTTTCCTAAAATTCATTGAAAGTCTTCAATCGTAAAAATGAGGTGTATATGGATAGTACTAGTCTGATTCTAAGTCCCAAGATTTACTTGAATCCAGCAAAACTGCCCCCTGTGTCTATAGCTTTTAACAAAAAAACCTTTTTTCTTGTGGAGAACTAACGCCTGGTTTCGATTCCTGATTTTTTTTTCCTGCTTGTTTGTTTAGAAACGTCCCTGGCGTGACAAAGTGCGCAAGAAGGCGCGTAAGGAAGCAGCGAAGGCAGAGGCAGAACGAGCGAAATTAAAAGAGGCTAAAGAGGTGGGTCTGATTGTGGCCCTACTAACTAGGTTCATCGTTCGTGCTTTAGGCTGTACAAATTCCCGTTGGAGAAGCGAGTGTCCAAGAAGAAGAAGAAGAAAAGGAAAGAAGACAATTTAGGACAGCTAGTGAAGAAAAGTTGGAGGAAAAGTCTCCAAAGATGGTATCTACCGCTCAACAGAGCCTTGAGAAGCTTGAGGCAGGTCGTTTCAGGTGAGAACTCATTTTGTTCGAGCATGTAGTTGAGCCCTTTTCATTACACCGTAGCAGGAGCTGGTTGTGATACCACGAAAAATAGGGGCGTCGAGATACCAGTTCGGTAGAAAAAGGTCGGGAATCGTCATTTCTTGATAAAGATGTACCTCCTTTTCCTTCCCAATACAAATCACAGGTTATGGGGGTACCTTATTCCCCATGGAGAACAGGGGACGGAGGTTTCGCCCTGGAGAGCTTCATTCCTCGATGCTTCGGACATCTAATAATCGGATTACTCCTGGTTCTGGCTTCGGTGCTGTTGTTTAAGTCGTTCCCAAATGTAAGTTCAGTGTGGTATGGCAATACAGTGTGGTATGCTTGCATGTGTTCAGAGGCATAGAGGTGTAGTGGCAAGTGGCGCGCTTATCACGCGCGTGGACCAGGTTCCAATCCCGGATCGGCTCCCGCCCAAGCCAACCAAGCCCACTACCCTCCGGGGACGGTGAATTGGTACCAGATTTGTCTGGGAGGATAAAACACTGACTTGTACATCGGCTGGCCCCTGCAATGCATTCTATAGGCCACATCGCATTCAGTAAGCCACTACAATTCCAAATTGATGTAGAATGCGTGCTCCATTCTAAAAAGGGATTGGATGACGGCGAAGGCTTCATCTTCGAATGGGGTCACAATGGAACTAGTTGGGAAATGGTCAATGGTACTTATTAAGGTTCTTGAATGAGCAGCTTTACACAATGACGGGGTCAGAAGCATGGAAATACTTTCAAGAAGATCCCGATGCGTTCAAGTGTTATCACAGTGGATTCGCCGAGCAGGTAGTCTTAGTTTCAATCAGTGCTATGCTTTTTTGGATAAATACCGCACAGAAATCGAAAACCTTCGTCCACATTCTGTTAGGACTTTTTCATACGTCAATGGCTCGTGTTATTTATATCGAATTCGAATAGTACAGGTGAAGAAATGGCCAAATCATCCGCTTTCCTCCATAATACGGTGGCTGAAGACCAAACCAAATGGGTCTGTTGTATTTGACATGGGATGCGGAGAAGCAAAAATAGCAGCTACCGTTGGTGAAATACATAAGGTTCGTTTGTTTCGATAAATTTGACTGCACATTTCTGTAATTCCCTCAATCTCGTCTCAGAAATTCCAGTACTTTTTGTCCCTTTTTTATATGAGGCAGACCCAGACACATCATAACTGAGTATTCCTCCCACAAAGGGAAGGAAACGTTTGTAACCTTTTGGGAGAGTCCCGTTGACGGATGTCGGCGGTCGTATTTTGAGTTGTTCCCATAGTGGAAATGTGCCTTATGTATTGGAAAGGTATTGCGGCGTAAAGATGAAACTAAAGCTTCATAGGGTTGCCGACGACTGTTCTTCAATTTATTTCGCTATGTTGCTTGCTATTGTATGTTAGAATCGCCAGTCACCTTTAGCAGGGCTCAAGCAACTATAGTGAAGGCAGTCTTGTTTGCCCACTGTCATTCGACTGCAGGTGCGCACATAGCTAAACTGGGATTCGCCATGGTCCACTAGGAATCACACGTGTATTGAACGTTCGAATTTGATTTCTAATGATTCCATCAAGACTGCCGTCAACACCCTTATTTGAACCAATCTTCGTCATCAAAAAAAGTTTGAGTGATCGATTACCCGATGTGTTGAGGAATTGTAAGGCTGTTCCTCTTCGCTTTTCATCCACATCCCGACAACTCCCATATTCTCGCAAGCTTGACCTGGGAGCAGTGCATACGCCCAGAGCCACCGTGTTCGAGAGCGCGGCCTAATGCGCCACGAGTGGCGCGACAATCTTTTCGTAACCCCTGCTATGTCCATGGGAGCAGTAGTCTCCCTGTGGTTTACAATATGATACATCGCAACCGACACACAGATCCCAATCGCTGTAAGGTTTGCTGTAAGGCGCATTGTACATTCGATAACATATATTGATTGGGTTGGCCCATAAGTAATGGCGTTTTTTTTCTCACTCCGAAATTTCGCGCTAAGACGAAAATTTCCTGCCCCTTTAAGAGGCTTTTCTTAGTTTTTCTCTGAAGATTTTGTTTCCACTAATTTATGAGCCGTCAAATTGGAGTGTGAGGTCGACGAAATTGAGCTGTTTCGAGAGCCTCTCCTTTAAAATCTAATCAAAAAGCTAAAAAGATACAGGCCTCCCCTGTCAAGTATACGGCCGAGAAGCAATGTCTCTCAAGAATGCTTATAAAGGTTTTAGCCTGCAGAAATTCCAATTTTGACCTTACAGACAAGCATCGAACCTTGTGCCCTATTGAGTCCAACTTAGAGCTTACTGAATCACACTGTTCACGGAGATCCATGCAAAGAATTGGGGAATTTTCGATGTCGCGAAAGGCTACCACGTTCTCATTGAGCATCATTTTCACTTGGTAGGCGATCTCAAACTTTTAACGTGTGAATGGGTTCTGCACGATAGTCCGCCCTCCCGAGAGGAAGCCTTATGGCCATAACCGCAGGCGCATGGTCCAAATTCCCATCTCTTCATAGCTTCAGCCAACTTCAAGCCGTCGTGGAAAACATCTTACCTCGGTTATACACACCACAGGTTTCGAGCTGCTTCTGCAGTTGAGAACCCAGATTGAGTGAAAAAGGTTGCTGTCAAAAACTCACATTGGTAACAGCCGGATTCTCCATATAACTGAAGTATAAAGCGACAAAAACTAAAAGAGCAGGAGGACAACTACACTATATTGTAGAGCTGGAAATTGTTTATCAACTGGTTCACAAAACCCTCCTCCGAACAAGTCTCACTTCCGCGTAAAAACTTGCATAAGAAAAAAAATTACTCATGGACCAACCCACAGGCGCGACGACGCGGCCAAGTCCACCACCGGAATATTGTCTTGCACCCCCCCCACACGTCTGGGCGTCTGTTCCTACCTTACCAGTTAGGTGAGCGCCCCTTCATATTAATGCCTTTTAGAAACTCCTTTTGTTGCTTCGAGGTAACCGGTCGCATACTTTTATCTCAAAACACCTGGTGTGTGGATTTTTTTGATGCTAATGTGGTCATAATCTATTTCGCTTAGCTCTATTAGGTCTGTTTATGTTCTTATGGAACTCTTTTTTTTTTTGTTCAGGTACACTCGTTCGATCGATCTTGTGGCTGTGAATGATCGCGTAACAGCATGCGACATGGCCCATTTACCAATGAAGGATTTATCAGCCGATATTGTCGTGTTTTGCCTTTCTCTCATGGGAACAAACCTCATCGATTATATAAAGGAAACTAGGAGAGTATTAAAGCTTGGAGTTGTCTAACTCGTTCATGGCATTGTATATTTCATATCCAATATACATACACCCTATCCCGAATATAGGAGGGGTCGTGGCTAGGTACTTCATTCGAGCAAGGTCCAGGATGGCATATTCCATTTGAGACAACTTTTATGCTGTCTTGTTTTGACAAATATATGATTACAATTATCCCAAAACCGCGGTATCCCACCAAAAAAAGGGGCCGCCGGCGCGTTCAGATGAAGCACGCAATCACGCACGCCCCCTTCATCGTTGAAATATGAAGCGTAGAAAAGGCTTATGTAAGGGCTAGAAGTATGAATCACTGGACATTCGGCTTGTGTGGGGTACGCCACGCACTCGACTTCTCATCAGACTCCTGGTTGTTGGAAGGCGTATTTGGCCTTCTTCGTAACTTGCTGAACTTGCGAATTACAAATCTTTGTTTTTGCTTTTTGAAGGGAAGTTTGCTGACAATTAGCTGAGCCCGTAGAAACAAAGGGGCCGATTGATTCGAGGAAGGATCAGTTCAAGACTTGATCCCGCACTAGCTGACCAGGAGGAATTGTAGAAATGAGCTTTAGGCTTGTAATAATTCCTAGTGCTTGTGCGCAGCCTAGGGTTGACTGCTCAGTTTGGTGAAACCCACCGCCAATTGCAGCAATTGTAAGTGTCGCCATAGGACCCATTCGAACTGTGCAAGTATGGAGAATATGCTATTTTTAGAATCGGCGACTGACTGGGAATCGATTGACTCTGTCTACTGGTATTTCCGAGGTATTTGCGATTTAGGAAAATGCGCTACTAGAGAGAATCCGCATGCTGAAGGAAAGCGCCGTTGCTAGTGTGGGATTTAATCGATTACCATCCGTTTCTTTCAGTTTATTCGTGACACTCGCTAAACGTGGGCAAGGTTCTAGGCTTCTCATTCAGCTAGTATTCCTTTTATGCTACGCCAACGAGTTTGGGGATCTGCACACCAACGCTTGCGCGCACTTGAGTTAACGGCAGTTGCACGATAAATTCCCAAGACAAGTAGGGTTGATAGGCCTGGCAGGACGGAATTCCGTGTCCCTGAGCAGGCGCCTTCACCAAGGAAGGTACTTTAATAAGGCCCTATCAGGCCGCAACATACCGACCCAACGCCCACCGCGCCCGCCCGCCCACAAATGGACGACCGTACCTGATGCTCGTATTGCTTCATTTGCGAAGTAAAATATGAAACGAAGGGATTGAATGAAGCGGCCGTGGTGATGTGTACATACATGCAGCCGTGTCTACCTAGCGGGTGATGGCGCGATACCTATA